AAAGTCAACCAATTTGGAATGTCCTTTTGGTGTGTCAATGCTTCCTCTCGATTTTGCTTTACCAACTTGAGACCTGGACAACATCATCTTTCCCTAGCCATGGCTCTTGAGTTATGATCCATTCTAGAACGGTGAGAGGCACCTTGGAGTCCTAGTGGACGATCACTTGACCACGAGCCAGCCGTGTGCAGCAGCAGCCCAAAAAGCTAACACAATCCTGGGTTGTGTAAACGGAGGCATAGAATCAAGATCACGTGAAGTATTAGCACCGCTTTATAAAACCCTAGTAAGGCCACACTTGGAATACTGCAGCCAATTTTGATCACCACATCACAAAAAGATGTGGAGAGTTTGGAAAAAATTCTGAGAAGAGCAACTAAGATGATCCAAGGCCTGCAGACTAAAACATGCAAAGAACGGCTGCGGGACTTGGGTTTGGCTAGTCTAAAGAAAAGAAGAAACAGGGGTGACATAATAGCAGAATTCCAGTATTTGAGGGGCTGCCACAAAGAAGAGGGGGTCACGTTATTCACCAAAGCACCAGAGGGCAGGACAAGAAACAATGGTTGGAAACCGATCAACGAGAGAAGCAACCTGGAATTAAGGAGAAACTTCCTGACAGTGAGGACAATTAACCAGTGGAACAGCTTGCCTCCAGAAATCCTGGGCGCTCCATCACTAGAGATTTTAAAAAGAGGCTAAACAGTTAATTGTCTGAGATAGTATAGGTTCTCCTGGTTGAGCAGGGGGCTGGACTAGAAGACCTCCAAGGTCCCTTCTATTCTATTCTATTCTATTCTAGAACGAATCCAAATGTATCAGCTATCTCTGGTCCCCTGCTAAGCAAAGAGCAGCATTTTGAGGACCAGTGGGTGCCAGCTTCATTGCCAAAGCTAATTTACCAGAAACTAAACACTGCTGAAGAAGCAGAATATGAAAACAGGCAGGAACACGTAACAATTTCTCTAAGCTGATCAGAAGCCAGCGATCTGCAACCAAGACCTAATCCTAAAATAATAACCACACACAGTTCAGAAGGCCTTGCATGTTTCTGCTTGTTCATGCACAACAACACACCCACACTGCTCAGCCAATGGCAGAGAATCTATTCTTTCCCCCCCTCTCTGCTATTGTTTTCAATAACTCTCATGGTCATCCAGATTTTTGCAACCCAGGTCTGTTGGTCTAGAATAGAATAGAATAGAATAGAATAGAATAGAATAGAATAGAATAGAATATAGATATTGGAGAATAGAATAGAATAGAATAGAATAGAATAGAATAGAATAGAATAGAATAGAATAGAATAGAATAGAATAGAATAGAATAGAAGATGGAAGGGACATTGGAGGTCTTCTAGTCCAGCCCCCCACTCAAGCAGGAGAACCTATACCATTTCAGACAAGTGACTGTCCAGTCTCTTCTTAGAAACCTCCAGTGATGGAGCACCCATGATTTCTGGAGGCAAGCTGTTCCACTGGTTAATCGTCCTTCACTGTCAGGAAGTTTCTCCTTAATTCCAGGTTGCTTCTCTCCTTGATCAGTTTCCAACCATTGTTTCTTGTCCTGCCTTCTGGTGCTTTGGAGAATAACGTGACCCCCTCTTCTTTGTGACAGCCCCTCAAATACTGGAACAGTACTATCATGTCCCCCCTATTTTTTCTTTTCTTTAGAGTAGCCAAACCCAAGTCCCGCAGCTGTTCTTCGTATGTTTTAGTCTCCAGGCCTTGGATCATCTTAGTTGCTCTTCTCTGAACTTTTTCCAAGGTCTCAATTCTTTACCTCCAGTTTCTTACTCCACTGTGCAACAGTCAACAGTCAACAACTATAAATATCAAGCATGGTCAAAGCGAAATTGCACAGAGGGGAGGGAAAAAAAGCAAGTTACCAGGGCTGGCTTAGAAAAAAAACCCAACCGTTACTACACGCAGATGTCAAAGCAATTTAAGTCAAGTTCCCCATATGGTTTCTCGATAGATTATGTTTACTATTCTGAATTTTCAAGGTTACTCAGCTAAGGGAATCTATCGGAAGCTGCTCCGGCAAAAACAGCTTCCTTCCTTTGTTCCGGGACAGTTCTTCCGTTCTCCACGAACACAAAGAAGTCCTCGACTTACAAGAATTCGTTTAGTGACCGTTCAGAAGTTACAACAGCTCAGAAAAAAAAGTGACTTATGACCGTTTTTCAGCCTTCCCAGGGTCACGCGATCAACATTCAGATCCTCGGCGACTGACTCCTACTTGTGACGGTCGCAGTGTCGCGTGGGAGGGGAGGGATCATCTGACATTTACTCTATCATTTTTTTTTTGACGTTTATCATTGCCAGAACCGGAATATGTTGAACCTTAGAACTACAGGAGGTAATTTTTGATTTTCAGTTCCTGTGCATTTCCGTGTCTTTACAATAGTGGCCAAAATTGTGGAAACCTTTTGGGGAAAGTGTATTTTTGAGGTTTGAGGGCTAAGAACATCACTTTTTTGGGGGGAGTAGTACCATTTT